TCCAGTCGCTCCCACTTAGTGGTGCCATTGGTGACTGGCAATGGGCCGACTAGGATATCCTGATATTCAGGCTCCTCGGTTGCGCGGAAGTCAAGTAAGACGTGGGCATATCGAGCTGGAGCATGGCCACTACCATCGATGTATGCCAGAGCATCTGACTTGTTTGGCTGCATAAGTTCGACCAAGACACTATTCTCATCAGTGTCAAGATCGCGTTGAAGTGAGACTTTCATGACTTCACTTACATCGTGTTATCCCACGAGGTAGCGTTGTCACTAAGAGTAAGGTTCAGCTCTTTCTGTGCGAAGAGCCATTCCGTGACACCAGCAGCCTCTGGGCCCGTCAACCCGCTCCAAATGTTGTCCTTGGGGGCATCAATGTCCATCGGATCGTGAACCACGCAGTCTACTGGCTCACTGCCATTGCTGGTGTGACGCTTGTTCATGGACTGGCTGAGAGCTTTCCTGCCGTGCCCTTTGGCCCTCTGTTGAGCCCATGACGTCTTGGGAAGGCCATGAACTTGAGGAATCAAGTCTGAGCCTAGCAGAAGCAGTGCTCCCAGGCCAAAGGCGCGAGTTACTGAAGTGAAGCCCATGTTGTCCTAGATCTCAATGGACACTGAGGGATTCAGAGAGGCGTAAGGATCTTTCACAAACCCGTCCGCTCAACTATGGTGGATCTTGGCGGGTTTTATGGACAGCTTAAAGATGGCTGAAGCTCTGGTGGAACCTTGAGTCTCTAGTGATGTTGCACCTGAGTAACTTGACTCAGCCATTTTAAACCTACTACTACCCCGACACCGGTGATAAGATTGCATCGATGGGCAATCGTGGACTTGTTCATTAGACCATCAACTGACAGCAACATTCGAATAATCTGCAGAATGCAAGCTAAACCACTCTCAGTATGTGAAAGCGCCGCTAGAGATTCGAAGGGAAGGCAGAAACGAGGGAGCCTTATTCGAACAGCCAGGTCCAGAGGATTGGATGGCTCCAGAAGCCCAGAGGAATTCGATTTCCTGGGGCAGGGTAGCTACACAGTAGCTATCATTGCCTTGATGACTTTTGAGCAACATTGAAAGTATCCTATCATGTCGGGGATGAGCTGCTCAAGCGAGAAATAATCGCTCAAGAGCTGCAGAACGTGGCGCCCATGTCTCGACGGTATGCGAGCGAGCCAGGGCAGGGGCTCGATGATATTGCGGGCCGCGGCCTACGGACAGAACTGCTTGCCGTTCATCCCGTGGGGCTGTATGTAATACAGCGGCGTGATATTGTTTGCTTCCTCCGGCCTCAGTCTTGGCAATTGCTTCAACGTTCAGATGGTGCATCAAGATGGGTCGGCGTAGTCGGGTCACTCGGGCCAACGGCGTCGGGCCCGTAGCTTTGGGGCGGGGGTAGCTGTCGATAACGCCAGTCCAAATTCGTCAGTCGAATCCGAGATTGTGCTGATAGGACAGTAAATGGGAATTGAATGGCATATCGACAATCGAAGTCGCCATCACGGCGGTAATTAACTGGTGATTTCTTATCTCGAAGTCCAGTTATGCGGAGTCATGGGCAAGGCATTCCTAGCTCTAAGAGGAGGTTCAGGGATGCATTCAAGGTGGGGCTGACCCAACGTCTGTGAGCATTGTGCGGGGGAGTTGAGGTTCTCGAGCTTTGACATCGCCGGTTCAATTCTCGAGTTCTGCTACCAGTACTTGAATCGGAGTACTGTCGTCGGGTCGTGAAGAGCCTCAGGAAGCTCCTTCTTACAATTGGTACGATGAAGGATGGAAGACCGTTGCAGGAACATTGAAGTTTTCAGCCGCATTATGCCGTTGGTGTTGCGAGCTTATCTCTCGTGCGCGTGTCAAGATCAGCTCCGGCAGGCAAGGCAGGATAGTTTATCCGTATTCAGAATGAGAACTCCAGTCGCAACGAAATACAGATCGACGTAATGGATGGTTGGGGTGAAGACCCATCTATCGATAAGCTTAGCTTTGCGTTCATCCAGTAAGTCTGAGCGAAAACAAACTTACTTGCTTACCAACGAACGGTTGAAGACGACGAACTGCCGTTAGTAAAGACTGGGGTCCTCCGTAGAACGGCCCCCACTTCCCACTTCCCGCGCCGGGATGTTGGCAGATGGATCACTGATAAGCCTGCATGGTTGATAGTCGGATAGTAAACCAAATGAGCCGGGCTTTGGCGATTTGCGAAACAAGCTCCGACTAATTCCATAACAGTGCATGTTGAATGCAAAAGCCCTGGTGCTGTCTGCCGCCCCCGGCCACGTTCAGCGGTCTGACGTAGGCTGGCGTGGGGAGAAATCGATGGTCGAGCAACGAAGAGCTGGGGAAGTCCGGCTGACCACATATGCGCTACCGCCAGATTTGGCAGTTTGATAGACCATTTCTGGGGTCTTTGCTATCTTCAACTTTCAACTTCGCGCGTGAGCTCCGACTTCGGTGTCAGCGGATTGATGAGGAAAGATGCAGAGAAATGTTATTGTCGGGTCTTTCGCTGGTTGTGCCCATATCCATGATGACGGAATGATCACGGCCAAGCTGGGCTTCGAAATCTGGCCATCACAAGGATAACTTAGGACTCGTTGCAATACCTTCAGGGGCATCTAGAATTTCCAGCATAACAAGAGCCTTACCGAGGTCAGCTAAGAAATAAATGGGGGGTGTTCGTCTCGTCTTTGTTTACCTTGATGTCTGCTTGGTCCAACATCGGGAAATCGGCAACTGCCGTTGCCATGTGTGTAGTTCCATGGTGATGAGTTATTCACAGAGAAAAGGACAATGCGTCTTGTTGGTGGCGCATCGGAGTTTTGGGCATACAGCATCTTTATTTGGAGAATATGGTTATTCTCAACTGAGACCCAGGGAAATATTAGTCCTCATGTCTTCACCCTGCCTAGCTGTAAGGGCTGATAGTCACTCTATCCGGCGACTGAGGTGCGTTTCAGCGGGCGTTTGAAAGTATCACATGGGTTGGCTGGGCCAATAGATAGCTGACTTGACGGTCCAGCGGGCGTTTCGCTCACAAGACCCGAATTGTATGCCCGTCAATGTTGAAGTGGGAGAACTTTCCCGGTATCCTGCCTGCATGCGGATTGGCGCACCATATTCCCGACAAGCCTTAGACGGATTCAAAGACCTGTGTTTTGGCGGAAGGCAGAAGTAGTTTGAAGTTGCCCGAGTTGCTCGTATGCTTGTGGTGAATCGACATATCTAAGGTAGAGTAGCCCAAAGTAGACCTAGCCGAAAGACCTGGTGATTGACTCCAGAGTGAGTTCCGCAAGCTAATGCCCTCAACTTGAAAGCCTACTGAAGCAGGCAGTTAACTTATCTCTTGATTTAAAGCAGAAATGATGCCGGGAAAAGGTCAAGTTGATTCTCAGATTGACATAAAAAAGGAAGGTAATCCGACCATCTCAGTGAGATCGAAGGCAAGCCAGTCAGCAAAGGAATAAATGATGTAACTCTCCCACCTATGTATTAATACAAAAATGAAACGGACAAAAAGATATCGTCAATCGCTGACGGGAATTGAGCCCGACGTGGCTGGTTTGAGTTAGTTTAGTGTTGGTGACATGTGTCTGAGACAGTGTATGCTTACGGGTCGAACCCACAACCTTGAGATTAAGAGTCTCACGCTCTACCGATTGAGCTAGCCGGGCAGACAAGGCTGACATTGGCTGGTTGATGGGAAGACCGAGAATGGGAGAGGTTAAATTTCGAATATAGAAAATTGGTACGATTTGGTGCGATGGGGACGACAAAATTTGCATGCCCCGAAGTAAACTCCACTCGAAGGCTCCGGGTCGGCTCCGAACGAGATCCAGTCCGCTCCCGGTATGTGGCCTTGGCAGCTCAGTCACTCATAAATGTTAGAAGAACCAAGACTCTTGATGAGTGAAATAGGGCTCTGGCTCTGTCTTATGCAAACTCATCCCACTAGCCAGGGCTTGCCTTTTCCTCTTGATTGCGCCCTCGAGCATAAAAGTTTCCACAACTCTGTCACCTGTGGAGCCAGCCACAAAGCAGCTTGAATCAAGAATGACACAGGATTGCTGCATTGTCAGGGAGTTTCGTAGTCAAAATAGACTCTCCCAATCACTTCCCAGTGGCTGTGCCTTTCCATGTCGCACGTTGGGCTCGACTTTCACACGGACCCCTGTCAAGGTTGTCACTTGCGAGTTAGCGATGACTTCCACCTCTATCCACTCATGTCTAAATATGTATCTCGAACGAGAAGTCGAATTGCTCTCTGAATTTGAGTTTTCCATTTTTTTCACTATGAATTCTAGGTTCTGGGTTGTCAGGAGAGACTCGAGACATGGGTTTCGTAAATTAGGTTGAGGTAGCTATGCCTCTAATATCACATAAGTAGGCCTCTAGCTAATTGTGCGAGCCGACGCCAAGGCCAAGTTGGCTTGCTTATATTCTTCTTGGATAAATCCACATCAGAAGGCAGTTGAAAGCACCGATTGCTACCTGCGCTTGATTGAAGGATGCTTTGTGGCGACATGGAAAGCGTATGTGAAATGACTCGCAAGATGCTCGCCGGAATCCTTCACTTCCAGCTTCAAATCGACGGCTGCGTGGGAAAATACGCAGTACATCTCCTAGCCATGAACGATGGCAGCAAAGTGCAACAGACTGTAGAGTCAATATCACGAAACTAGTGGCTGATAACCATTCGGTGTTTTTGGATAATACTGGCTGGGTTTCTAACCAGCCTCCAATTTAACTATCCAATTGCGCCGGGCAACTCTTCCGCAATTCTTCTTCACAATGATGTGCTCTACCCCTTCGGGCCCCCTCCCGCCCTTGGGTTCGCTACATCCCATGCGTTGTGGGCTGCATTGCGTCCAAAAGGGCTTAGAGCGACCCCGCATGCTGAGCACGTCAGTGTGTTTCGGTGGGAAAACTGGGGCTTCCGGGGCATATTATCCTCGGTCTCTTCCGGGTTCCGCATCCCGGTCCGCCGTCGAGTCTTGTCAACGAAGTTTCGATGAGCGAACCTCGCGGCGGGTAGATTTCTTCTTCAAACTTACGACCTGAAAGACGGAGGAGACCGAGACACAATGCCCAGCCCCAGTTCGGTCGCCGAATCTGAAGCAGCACCGCTACCCAGGCCCCGGTGCTTGACGTGTAAGCGCCGAAAGGTAAAGCATTCTCTCTGTGGCTCCCCGTTCCCCGCCTCCACACATAATGGGTAAGCATACTGACACAGCTTAGGTCAAATGCACCGGGGGGCCCGAGCCGTGTGAGAACTGTCGTCGACTTAGACTCGGCTGTACGTTCAATTACTCAGAGATCAACCAGTCACCAGATGTCCCAAATCCACAAGGACTTTTAGCCCCGGCAGACACTCTAACCGAAGCCGGGACCAGACGCCGGCGCATCGCGGCTGCATGCACGGAGTGTCGCGTCCAGAAAGCCAAGTGCTCCGGTCACCGCCCGCAATGCTTCCACTGCAATCGGAGGAACCTATCATGTGTATACCCATCATCGGCATCAAGGCGCAAGAGTCGACATATTAGTGGACACCAGCAACAGTCTGCTTCTCCAGAATCGAGCAGCACTTTCAGCCAGAGCGCCTCCTACGAGGCAGATTCTACACTGCACCAACAGTACGGCGTGGGCAGGATGTCTCTGAACACGGCCCTAGACCACACGCTCCTCAGTACGGACGTGATCCGCCAGCATCTTGAGGTGTATTTTGACCACGTTTATCCAATAGGCCACGATTTCTTTCATCGGCCATCCGTAATGGAAGAATTCTACGCCGGAAAGCTTCCGCCAATACTCTGCACATCAATATGCGCGACCGCAGCAATGTTCGTCTCTCGCTCACGCGAGTCTCGAGTCCTGTCCGTTCAGTGGGCCAAAGAAGTAGACGCCTACATCTTTGGCAACCTCAACGTTTTCAAAGTGCTCAATATTCAGCTGCTAATCCTCTCCATGTTTCAAAACTTCGCCTACAGGCAGTTTGGCAAGATGTGGCTGCTTATCAGCATGGCCGCGAGGTTAGCAGTGTCATTTCAGCTCAACGACGAGAAACCGGCGTCTGACAACGGGACCACAGCTGCACTAATCAAGCGCGAGTGCGAGCGGCGTCTGGTGTGGCATGTATGGAGCATGGACAAGATGCTCTCGGCAGGTCTGGATGAGTTCACCTCGTTGCCAGATCGGTGGATGAGGATTTCGTTGCCAAATTCGGAGCATGCGTTTTGTCATGGGCTGATGAAGCCGACGGGCAGGCTTAGTGATGGGGTAGAAGCGCTTGCATCTCATGAAGCTGGTCCTAATGCCTACTTGATAATGCTCTTACCGCTTCGCTGTGAGATACTGCGGTATGCTTTTGAAAACCTTTCCCCACTCGTCATTGTAACGACACTGACATACACAGATTGACAAAGAGAATTGTTTTAGACAGCCACTCAGACCATTCCCCAGCCGCAGTCTCCAAAGCAGTCACAACCATGATAGACCTACGAGACCGACTGAGGCTCTTCCTCAAGAACACACCAAAACACCTTCAACTCAGCGAACTCAACATGTTTTCCCACTCAACCACATCAGAGTTCTCGTCCTACCTGACACTCAACTCATGGTACCTCCAGTGTGCCTGCGATCTCTTCCGCGTCGCACTCCCAGCTGCGTATAGGGAGAGCGCATCGCCGAAATTCCTCGCGAGCGCCCCGCCAGACTTTGTATCTGAGTGGCGCGCTCTCGCGGTATCACACGCTCTCCGACAGGCGAGATTGTGGGAGCATCTCCAGAATCTTCGAGCCAGGGGCGCCCTGCAGTCAAAGCAGACGCGTATTCCCCTCCGACTAGGGTATGGCAGCATGGTGCATCAGTGCACCAAAACTATCCTGACAGCAAGACGGTGCAAGCTCTACGACGATCTAGTTGACCCGATAACCGGCGATACAGCAGTGCTCAATGATGAGGCAGTGGAGGCTTTATGCCATAGCAACATCGCCTTGCTGGACGACATGGCCAAGATCGCCCCCATCATTGCGGTGCTACAGCAAGACGTGGAAAAGATGGTTGAAGCCGACAAAGACAAAAGACAGAACGACGCAGAGACGCAAGAGCTCGCCCCAGTTAGTAGTGAGGTCCAGCGGAACAACTTGCTGAGCAGATACCACCCACTTTCCCAGAGCTTCGACAGCAATGCCAAGACAGCCGACGAAGTCGCGCTTCAACACTCCGATCCTCCCCAACCGCCGTCAATTCTTCAGACTTCAGAAACGTCGGATTTGACGATGCCGGACTCTGTCGACATCTATCCGGCTTCTCTAGCTAGCGCCGCTAATCTCAATGACATTGGTTCCAGCCTGGATGGACCGCTTACTTGGTCTGGCTTTGCAGAGAACCAACTGGCGCCAGATTACTTTGTAGCTCCCTCGCAATTCGATATGAGCGGTGAGCTAAGCTGGTTTCTATCAGGCTACATGGATCCGGATCCCGCCAATGTTTGACGAAGCGAAGACGTGGAAATAGCGGACTGGGTTGGAATTTGGAAGATATATGTACATTTCGGATTGAGTAGACCTAGATGCCATATAATAAATATTCAACAACGGAGAAACCTACTTGGAACTATAAGACTTTCGCGGAACTACGAACTAGGCTGAAGCTGTCCAGCCCAAGCACGCAAGACGGGGCCGAGATGATGTTTCGAAGAACAAGTGGGTCTCTACCGCATCTCGCCGGATCTCGCTCACACCACCTTGGGGAACATCTGACCCCTTGACAACGCCGCATCCGCCGAGATCCGCTGACACGAACCATCTGCAAGCAGTTTGCAACTCACTTCTCCAGACTTTCCATGCATTTCAATACTCCACCACGACCACTAGTCACGAATCCCATGTCCCTGGCTTCGGTCACTGTCAGCGTCACGGCATGGCGACATACCTCGACGTCTTATTAGTGTAGCAAAGGCTCGAGTATGTAACCACCATATAACTCTCGCTCCCGCCCCAAGCCCGAAACCACGATGAACGAACTAGCTCCCTGAACCTATTTGAGCTCATTCTCGACGAGCATCATCAGCAATTATGGGGCTCAAATCGATTACACAGCACTTCAACAAGAGACTCTTCGCCTCCGTATTCCTCATCGCCGTGTCGCAGTTCAACTATGGCTTCGACAACCAGGCCTTCACCTCGACGCAGGCCATGGATGCCTTTGAGCGGCAATTTGGCGAGTACGACGACACGACGAGGCAGTGGAAGATTCCGACATACTTTTTGTCGTTGCTGAATAGTCTGAACTACATTGGCTTTGCTGCCGGTACGTTCATGCTCTGGAAACTTGAAGCTCGGGTGCTGGAGGGCGACTTGCAGGTCGTGGTCACTAACACGATATTTCAGGTCTTGTGGTCGGCAGTCTAAACAGCGCACGCTTCGGCCGTCGAACGACGATGATCGTTATGAGTGTCTACGCCCTGATTAGTGCCACAGTGGTGGTTATATCCACAACGAAGGAACAAATTCTCGTAGGCAGAATTCTCAACTGTATGACAGACCTACCTGAAGCAACTGAGCAATCATTGACAGACTCCAGATGTCTACGTCGGATTTGAACTAGCTGTTGTGCCCGTGTACCAGTCAGAGATCGTCCCTGCTCCTGTTCGAGGAATGGTTGTTGGAACATACCAACTCTCCATTGGTGTACGCACAACTCTATAAGACCCCCCCTATTCCGTTAGGCGATTGCTAATCTGCAGATTGTAGCTTGGCGGACTTGTTATCAACTCTATCTGCCGCGGAACCTCAAACTTTCAAGATAGCCGTGCTTACAGGATTCCCTTCGGTCTCTTTTACGTCATTCCATCAATCGTATTAGCTTTGATCTGGTTCATTCCAGAGGTAAACACGTCCCAACGCTCTCATCCTTCAACATTGGTAGACTAACTCTTCTAACCCCTGATTAGTCTCCCCGCTGGCTCCTCCTCCGAGACCGCGTGGATGAAGCTAGAAAGTCCCACCATCTCCTCCGCGAAGGAACCATGTCCGAAGAAGATATCGCCCACGAGTTTGCCAAGATTCAACAATCTCTCCTCGATGAACCCGAACAAGGTCGAACGAAAGAGCTCTTCCAGGGCGTGAACCGCAAGCGCACTGCCATCGCCGTCGGCATGTCTTTCTTCCAGCAGGCGACGGGTCAGGCTTTTGCGTCGCAGTATGGAGCCGTCTGGGTCAAGTCGCTCGGCACACTGAACCCGTTTGACGTCACCTTGGGGTCGTCAGCCCTGACGACGGGGTTGATTATTACCTGCCTTTTCTTAACGGATCGGGTTGGACGACGGTAAGTGAGATCCTGTTCCCTGCAATTAGTGGTTGAAAGATATTCGACGTCAAGATGAGTGGGACTGACTTTACTTCAAGCAAAATTCTACTTGTTGGTGCTACGGTTCAGGCAGTTGCACTTTACACAATGGCCGGCCTCGGCGTGCCAAAGCCTGTACCAAATGCCAATAAGTCAGGCATGGTCGGCATGCTCCTCCTATGTAAGGACAATACCAAACCCACGCTAACGATGAGTATACTTGACTAAACTTTACTACAGTCGGCGCCGGCTTCGGTCTCGGATGGGGCCCCCTAACCTACGTAGTCGTAACCGAAGTCCCAGCCCTCCGCCTCCGCGACCGCTCTCAACGCGTCTCTTCCCTCGTCAACATCTTCATGAACTTCCTTGTCAACTTCACCCTGCCCTATCTCCTCAACGCGCCCTACGCCGCGCTACAGAGCAAGGTCGGTTTCATCTTCGGCAGCATCGCAGTCTGCTCCGCGCTATTTGTCTTCTTCTGCGTGCCAGAGTGTAAGGGGAGGAGTCTGGAGGAGATTGATCGCATGTTTCACGACGGCGTGCCGGTGAGGCACTTTGGAGACTATCCGAGATCCGAGATTCAGGTCAGCACGGTCAAGGTCGTTGATGAGGAAGAGGCTGGTGATCAGCATACTACGCTAGAGGAGGTCAAGTAAAGGTCGAAGACAGGAATTGAGAATCAGGATGAATTGGAAAGCCCACCGGCAGCCCTTGACTCGGCAATTCGAGTCGGGACCTTCGAGTCGGGACCATGGATTCGAGGGCATTGAAAGTCCTTCTCGCATGAAAATATCCATTTTCTGAGTCCAGTTTGACATCTGTGCAGCGCGTTCAAGGTTTCTGTTTCCCGACAATTCTGCTTGCTACTGTAGAACATATGTTCGACCCCACGTGTACCCCATGGTGTACCCCACGGCATCTTTTTCCGTTAACACCGAATCAAAGTTTGATAGCGTGTCGTTCATCCTTTTGGTGACACAAATCATCCCACATTACTTTCCGCCAAACCTTGCATATTGGATCATCACCAAACCCTCCCCAGCACCTCAGACTCCTTGACTCGGCGCTTAAGCTGCCGACGGCAAAGTTGTGATTGGGCAATATCTTGTTAGCTTGGCATCCAGGCACGCCGCACGATACGGGCCCTCCCGCCCCCTTTACCACATATCTGGCTCGACATGGCTGTTATTGTTGGCATTGAGCAGAGCCGCCTTGGACTGGACTTTGGCCTGGGTTCAGACGGTTTTTGGATCCGCTCTCTGCGAGATTGACGTCCATGACGATATAGCTTCGGCCCACATGCAATTGGGCAAGCATCATGTGTCTATTATCTCCAGCATAAACCTGCCAATAGGTTGTCGCAACGCATTGCCGCTGTGATCGGGGGATGGGCTTTCCGAATCCATTGATGCGTGTGCTTCGTTTCGTTTCGACATGCCACCGGATGCTCAGCCGACGAGCACGTGCTGTGAAGCCTATGCACCCGGGCCCTTGCATTGCTATGCCCAGTTCTCGGGACTGATTCCGATGTTACCCACGCTCCAGCGATCCAAGTCCATGTGGCCGTCCTCGTCACGCTCCTTCTCGTCGATGGGTCGTGCGAACTCAGTCAAGAACCGCAACATCCACCGATCCATGCGGTAGCTGGTGTTCATACTCTTGCGACATAGCTCATGGAACGTCTTGAGCCGTGCGAAGCATACCTCCAGTGCTGGCCAGTACGCTCTCAGAGCGACAAGGGTATTAAAATGACGCTCTAGTGTAGCACGGGCATTTGCAATCTCAGCTTCGTCCGTCTCGAACAACAGAGTGTGGATAAAGATTGAAGACGTGATGACAATGATATGCCCAAGCATATTGAACTTGGCGTCACAGCCAGGTGTTGTGTTCGCGAGATCGATGATGCGTGACATGGAAATAGCGTTCTCCTTGCATTTGCGCGCAAACATTTGTGCTGTTGGTGAAGCAGGAAAGCGTTGAACTTCGTCAAGATACTGGTAGTACAGCAGCTGGCTGTAGTGGTAGTGGCCAGTATGCACGGCAATGAAGATTCGCCCCAGGCCTTGAGAGGCGAAGGCATGGAGGTTACTCGGGGTATCGCGAAGATTATGGGGTAGAGCCACTTCCCAGGCTTCGAGCTCTTGTGACAGTTGAGACACGGTCTCGTCGATGTTAGTCACGTCAACATCGGATGTAAGACTCTTGATGGCATCATTGACCCTCATCAGAATACTGTTCAGCTTGATCATTTGAGCAATCAAAGAATCTTCGCGATTTGGCGAGAGAATGAAGTCAAAGTGGTTATTGTTTGCCCGGGTCATGTTGAGAAAAGTTGATTCGTTCATGGGTAATGGGACGTCCATTCGACGATCCATGAGGCGTGGAAGATTGACTCCGGTTGACGACCATACATCGATCATACAGAGTGACCAATACACTAAGAGAGTTAGTACTTGTACCGTGACGTGAATCCGAAGGCCGACTTCCTACCTCTGATGTGGATCTCTCTCTGCAGCGGATCTGGGGTCGGTAGGTTGGGTAGATCGAGATAGTTGGCTATCCTGCACGCTGCGGAGTAGAAGATGGTTTCTGCACCAGCCTCACCCTCTACGATAGAGTACGCGCCGAGTAACACGCATGCTTGTGCAGTGGTGAGTGAAACGTCACGCAAATTGAGCAGTAGATTTCCCTCATTGGCAAAAAGCTCGCCCCTCGACATTGGCGATATTCCGTTGAAGATTGGATTCGACGAGAACCGTGCTGAAAGTGCCATCATTCCGTAGACAAGCACCAGAGGGGCGGTTCCCTCGTGTAGATCCAGCATGAAGCTGGGCCTGTGGAAGAGGGAGTGGAGCTGGTCGTGAATATACTTAAAGTACAACTCCACAAGCTCGAAGCATAGCGCCTTGTCGGCAACAGCAGCGGAAGGAGTGATGCCTGGCGGACTGGCAAGAATGATCTCGGTGACTATCGGCGTCTTCGGTGTTGTGATAGATATGGGGCTGATAGGAGCCGCCTTAGGTTGGATGATAGTTCCAGCCCTCGAGCATGCAATGTTCTGGGCCGCACAGTAAGTGCACTGGCCGCCGCCGTTAGGAACTTCGCATTTCCGCCGTCGTGCGCTGTCATTCAGTCGGTGAGCGATGCGCCTCGAAGCCAATGAACGAAGGGGTCGGGGGAACGCCAGCAATCTTCAAGAGGGAGGAATCCGCAAACTGACTTACCGACACGCCGAGCACGCTGTAGAATACCTCATTGTTGAGCCTGGGGTGTCGGCTGTCCGTCAGTAGAATCCAATATTCCAAGTGGACTGCAGTCGATATTTGATGCCCTGTGCCTCGTCGTGATCTGTCTCATCCGATGATGTCGTTCTCTCGCCTGATCTGACAGGAAGCTGCGCGAAAGGGGACGTCGACGTTCGGCATGTGGCAATCAAATCAAAAAACGGCAAGTCACCTGCCACCTGCTTCCTTCCAAGTGCCTCCTTCCCCCGAGCCACAGCTGCAGCTACTGGGCCAGGAAGGCGCATCTTCCCCGCTTTCCCACAACGATTTCCCGGACCCCCAGTGGTTCGGCTAGCACAAACGCCCCTCATTTATGGGTCTTCTCCGCATCACAGACATCCGTCTGGGCCTTCCTATTTCCTGGTCTAACTCAGTTGGGCTAGCTCGGTAGTGGGCCGTTTGTGGGATTGCGGAGCGACGAGCCGATGATTTTCTGGCCGCTTTTTGAGGTCTCGTCGTTTTGTTCCTACTCTTCAATTTCCCCATGCTCCTGATCCTGAATTGGGAACAATACGATTCAATGCGACGCTCTTCATGCCTCCAATACCGCGCCTGCATAACTCTCCGGATCGAGGACCCGTGTTTTGTTGGTTTAAGTTGATGGAAACGGTCTCGGTGAATGCAACACTTCCAAACTTGGTCGTGTTTCCTATCCAATCAAACCCGCTCGCAACCTCAGTCCACCGCGGCGTAGTCGAAATGAGGGGCCTTTACTCGAAGCCTGCCTTCATCTCGGTACTAAAATGTTTGCTCCGAGCCCTGGAATAATCCTGGTGATCCGAAATGTCCGCCGATCGTTCCTGTCTGCCAGCACTTTATCGGCAGGTTGCTTGCAGTAGCCAGCTGAACATCGGCCCAAAGGGGATCCCACTTTATCGGAGTGCTTCGATATCTAGCCTTGTTTGGGACAAAGACACTGGACAGTCCCTCTCCGTCGTTTCCGAAGGGCCGATTTCCTTTCGAGTCTTGGCCAGACGGGAGCTCCCGCAGACTAATGGTCCTACTTGCCACGCGGAGAAGTCCCCAGAAAGCCGCTGCATTCGCCTTACATCTTTGAATACAACGGATGTCCAGATACCTCCGCCGATCGACGTATCAATCGTGAAATGTGTCCTGATCCTGTGCATATAGCCACGGCGCTCGGCCTGAGTTCGCCTGGGCTGATGTCTCATATGAAAGCGCTCACGACCCAAAGTACGGCGGCACTATGTCACTGCCTCTGATGATCGGATTCCAAACTCCATCAGTGCGAGGGCACTGGTGGAGAAAAGTACTGAGGTCATGAATATCTCATGTGCTGCCCCACCGTTCGTTTCGTATGCCGACATACAAGATTGATGGAGTATATCGCTTGTTTGGGAGCTTGCCAGACTACTGCACACATCAGTCACCCATCCTAGAGTTGCGAGTAGAAGTTTCAACTAACCTGCTAGAAGTAACTTGGCTCAGTCTCCGGCATTCTCTGCTCAACTCTTCTCCAAAATGTTCCTGAAGCCAGGAAACTAAAGGCGTGATGTCGCACGTCTTTCGAATTCATGCTTGGATCCGCGAATTTATCCAACTCGACTCGCCCGGGCACCTAGCAACGTCGGCGTGCTTTCTTGGTCTTTTTTTCGTGGGTACTTAGTCGGGAATGGTTATCGTACTCTCCGCAAGCTCGACTATCATCCGACCTAGCAACCCTCTCGTTAACTAAGCGCACTTCTTTAGATCTTTGCTTCATTCCGATTTCTGTCATAATGTGGTATCAACTCCCGGCCAGTCTCTTTTCGGTGCGTCCCTCCTGTCATACATGCCTGTTGCGAACCTTCAGGTAAACATGTGTACTACAGTCGCCGGTCGGTCTTCGGGATCGGCCACAATAGCTCATATTTCGGCCGATAGAAGCTGAATGATCAAATCGTGTGGTGCTGGCTTGAAGGCAAAGAATTTGATGGAACTTCGTTTCTAGAAGCGAGCTCTGTTCTTTTTCTATTTCTTTGCGAATTGAAGGTTGAAGAATTCAGGCTATGCAGCGTGCAGGGCCTTCAGTGCAGAAGACCATCGACCGAAAATCTTCTCGAGTCACAAGAATCGATGCTATTCGCAAGAAAAGGCTCTTCTAACAAAACCAACGAGCAAAAAATTCCATTCTATTCAGAGAAGAGGAAATGGCCACGGGAAAGATGTTATGTAAACCATTTTTCAATCCCGAATTCCGCCAGGGAGGAGTGGACGAGAAAACAATGTCCGCCAGTCCCGTCAAAGTAAACCCGCTAGTGGCGGGAAACCGCTACGCGGGACGGCGTGGAGAATGCGGGGAGATCTGCGGAATGTGGCACGGCTCGTTCTATTTGATGGCTCCATCCACATATGCAGGGGTAAAGACGTGTCGTCAGAGACAGCACCTGAATGGCATACAAGATATGTTTCTGTTGTTTTGCTGGAAAGGATCAAAATGCGAATATTCTCAGAAACTGCCAGGCAAGAAAAGACTACATTGCCCTTTGGTCGCTAATTACCTGCTCAGGCTTGCAGGTGAATCGTTATGTCTCAGCTATGCCATGCGATCTTGCCTCCACTGTTGTCTCTTCTACAAACAAACAGCCCAATGAAACTCAGCTGATAAAATGCTTTCTGAGTAGCATCTATTGTTAATTTTTATGGAAATCTCTGCGGTCTTTTGCCCCCCTTGAAAAGGCCACGTTCTGACTTTCCCTTGATGCTTGATGCATCCAATAGTAGCTAGCTAGGTACGTTGGTAGGAATGACTCAATACACACAGCCCTTTTTTCTTTTTTTTTTTTTTCCCTTCTTAAGCCCATCATCAAGTGCCATAATCGTGGGTTCCAAGAGCATGCTCTCTGACATCATCTTCGTCTCTGAGCAGGTGTCCCTTTCGCCAATCCAAATGAATGCCGTCGAAGTAAACACGGCCACATCACTAATCGTTACTTGAGACTAGCTGTCAAAACGGGCAGTGAACATTACGGGCTCACAGTAAGACATTGATATTTACATATCTAGTTCAACTCAATCCCTTTCTTCGGAATAGAAATAGTGAACATAATTCCGTCGTGAAGCCGAGTTGACGAAAAATGCCAACGTGCAAGCCTAACCTTGCACATCACCATTTTACCAGGTACGCATAGTCTCTCATCACGACATCGGGGACTGCATTAAGCTTCCCGGTATCCACCTGTCATCCCCGGCCCAAAAAGATCGCGATGAACTTCGAATCTCGATTAAGTTCCGGGGTTGGGTGAATACCCGACTCTCGCGGTAACCTGCTCTTGCTATGTATGAATTGTCTTTAACGGAAATTTCAAGCGATTTGACGTAACAAGTCGCGAGTTTGAGTATTGGAAAGAGTTGAAAGGTAGGAAATTGTGTCAAGGGCGTCTTCCAACAAGGGTAAAGCAGCGTAAACCATGTGAGTTCGTGGCGGCTGTCGCATGACTCTCCACTTTACATGTCTTCTTTAGCGGCGGTAGAAAGGTGACGTATAGAGAAATGGTTTGCGCCGTCACGGTTATGACTGTGCACTTTTCACATGCTCCAGTAAGTATTTGTATAGGCTATAATATTAAAGCTTAGAAATGCGATAGTACTGTTTACTACGCTTCATGAATGAGGCTCGGTGCGCAAGTCAGAATGCGTCCAAACTGCTTTGACTTACATTTACAGCAACGATGACTTCAAAATGGTCCCCTTATTATTTCATGTTACACAGAGAGCTTCATTACAGTAGACATGCGGGGAAGCGTGTCTGCGATGTTGAAAGTAACAGCTACCTGAAGGTTCTTGGCATCTGATTTCTGTCATCACTTGCCCCACCCAAGGAAATAAGTCGAGGCCATCTAAGCAGAATAGGAAAACCACATAAGCATCGTGTGGCTTTCCACTTCCAAACCTTGGCCGGTGCTGGATGAAGCATTCTTAGTTTATGGGAGTTTTACAATTCAACCAATCGTACTCATTGGAATATCCGTATTCTATACGCCTACTCACCATGCTCGTGTAAAGAAAGTCGACCTCCTAAACGTATTCCGTCTAGCGTAGAGGAGGGGATAGAGTCTCATAAGCGGGCGCCATCATGCCGCTTACGCAGGACACACTTCTCAAAGTCCATGCCGAGAGGAGGGGGTGAACGGGCGACGGCGGAGAAACTCCGCGACCGCGCGTCCGCCGTATGGAAAATTCCGAGCCGAAATGGTGGCCCAGTCGCTTTCCGGGGACGGATGGTTGGAGCATCCGGTGCCATGGAGAAGAGCTTAGAGGTAGAACACCGGAAGTCTCCACCAACCAGAGGGCTCCCTTGTCGGAAAGTTACGAATGGCGTGTGTGGCTATGTCTTCGAAGATTCCGTTGAACAGGGGGCGAGGTGTAAATCATGAGAATCGCCCTGCTATCTGGAAGGGGAGAAAAATGCGCGGCGTTGCACATGGCAATCCACGGTTTCGGGTCTGCAGCACGAGACGAACACAGGTAAACTTTTGGCGTTGAGGGGCCAACTTGTAGCTTGTTGTTGTCGCACAAGCCGTCCTCGGCAGTATAGGTAGATGTTCTGCTCAATAGTGTGCCATTGGGCTCTCGAATAGTAAAGGGTTTCGAAAGTCTGACTCGCCCGTAGGGCTCAAGCAGCGAGAATTCTTCCGGGCTGGTCTGCTTAAGTAACGAAACTCTATGCCCTGCGTGTGGACTGAGTTCAGATATCGTTCGCCATGGGCGTTCTGTCTGGCTTCTAGAATGACTAGAGGTGAATTCAACGAGAAATTTACACGATGTGTGTCCTTGCCTGATTCTCATGTGCAGAGTCCAGATTCCATACGCTTTCTACTTCATCCCAACTGATCTACCACGAGAGTAAAACACCACTCATGATTCAATGAGATACACTCACGATATTCAAAATCCGAGTACACGGACAGTGACCGCAGATACATCTGTGCAGCAATAGTCCAAAATAGGTTAAGTGTCGAGAGGAGAAGCTCTTCTCATCACGCCCAACTACGGCCCGTGAGGAATTAGCATTGCGTCTCTACAACAGCCCGCACGGAGGCTTCGTTAACTTCAGGCGTTGCTCTTTTTCCCGTGAAGTTCTGCGGATGCTCAAGCCAGTGTGTGTTAGGTGTGTTGATTAGTACCCAGAGCCAGCGTTGATTACAAGTCATACATTATCGAAGCGTCGTTGACGCTCTCACGATAGATTAAGATGTGTTGCTTTCGTGAATCTGGCATTAATGTCGACCATTCCCTTTCTTGCTGCAGTGGAAATCGTTCGCATGCATTGCCAGCCCCTAGGTGTATGAGATCTCCCGTCACGAGGGTGCGACTTGGTGCTGATTGGCTCACTACGGAAGAGAGACGAGATCTGTGTTTTTCTCTCTTATTTCGGATGACTTGCTTGATGAATTTCACTTTTGAGCAACTGTTGCCAAGTGAGTAACGATGAGAAGATGGGCAACCTTTTGCTATGCTTGCTCGAGCTTCGTCCAATGCAGGCCGACGGGAGCGGACCCGATCACATTTGAGGCCATCTGAGGCTGGCGGCTGAGATACAGGACGACTTTGAACGTAGGCCCGATCGGGAAATGTTGAGGACCACTTAAAGTTCCGTCGTGCCGGGCTTCTACCACACTCCGGCCGGCAGAGCAGCACTCGGTTTGGTATCGGCTCGCTCTGGCCCCACTTACGCTCTTACACTGAGGTACATTCGGGGTTCTCTGAGACTCTGAGTTCAAACGTTGCCGTAGGCAAGTGTTTGCAACAAACCCCGCGGGAAATCAAACACTGAGAAATGAGCTCTTAATGTCATGTAGCGGGAGATCTGTCCTGGAGCACCGAATCTCGTCTGCCAAATATTTTGCCCGTCATTTCTAGTAAGATACCTGCATGCAGGTCCAACTCTCTCAACTCTGTCGGGGACAGCCCGGGCCACCTTGGCGAAAGCTCATCAAGCCCTCTCTGCCCCGCCAATGCCATGAAACAATGCAGAGGAGCTATGGGCAGAAGATTCCCGAGCAAATCCAAGTCTTTCCACTGTCAAGCAACTTTTTGTGGATAAAACTTCCGCGCGGAAGGTTCACGTTATTCGCGACATCGAGCGGTTTGGATCCCAGGCGGCAGAATAGCACAGCTTTGCCTGCCGGCGTCACCAGGCCACATACCCCCCACAAACCTTATCGCATCCATCATCTCCAGCAGGAAGAAGTATGTATGCGATCCTTCTGTGTGTTCTTGTTGTCACAAGTGCCGGCTAACCAACACCTCGGTACCATGTTATCGGCAACCGCAAAACTCCCTCGGGTCATCATCGACATTAACATAGCTTTCTCAGCCCTAGGGACATGGAAATGACTCGGCCGCGCGTACGACTCTGGCCCGTGGAGAAAGATTGGACGATACAATGTATCTGCCTGTGGTACAGAAGGTTGCCGTGGAACACGCCAATATTCTTCCACCGGGCCCCGTCACCTCGAATTTCTGCTCAACCCTAGGAGCAGGCCGTCGATCGTTGGCGGCCGCCCCGTACACCACCACCATTCCGCAGATGGCCCTGCTTCTAGCCTGCCGACCTTAATCGCGAGTAGTTCATACCAAGGGTACCTGTTCAGGTTTCCCGGCCTTTCGGTTTGTTTACATGCACCGAGGCTCACACACATACTCTCACACACCCCTCGAGACACCGGCCTCGGCTCTGGCTGCTTCCATTGCTACTACACTTTGAATCCTTCTTATCTGAATCACATTTTCAGACTTTCCACCTAGCAGTTGTCCCCTGCCCACCAGTGTGACCCACAGCCTTACCCTATATCAGCAGAGTTGCGCTCCATGCCGGGCAGCCGGGACGTTTACCCACCACTAAGAGCTACCTGGCATTCTAGTCGTGTTTATCAACTCTATTCCTGTTTGAAAGACCGTTTAACTTCCCGTAGCCAAAATGAGGAGACGCGCTAGTGTACTGACCTGAGTCGACCCGAGGACTAATTGACACCTATCCCGCCGCACTCAAAAAGTAGTAGCCCCGCCAATTGTCTTGGCTATACGTTCACCGGTCTTACCTACCTTGCTTACAAGCTGAACTCTTGAGACCCAATTCTCATCGACTTGGCATTCCGGACAAACACCACCCATATCAACGCAATCATGACAGACATGAACACAGCCCCAAACTCTGCGCATCGCATCGACGTAAACACCAGGAGGCTACGAAACTCTTGTGATTTTTGCACCCGCTCAAAGTTGAAATGCGATCAATCAAAACCAACTTGTCACCGGTGTCTTCGCCGCGGGCGAGATTGCGTCTACAGTCGGGTACGGAAAGCTGGCAGACCACCCAAGGTTCCAAATAAACGTCACAACGCCGCCGCCCCGATGTGGGAAACTCAAGCAGACCGCGACAGGATCGACTTTCTCCCGTGCACGCCCAGCCCGAGTGATGCCTCTTTCGGCAGTATTAGCAGCATCAGCAGTCGTATCGGCAGTATTGACTGCATGGCAGACACATCAGCAACCGACTTCTCAGACCGTCGGACGTCGACCCCCTCAACCGGCGAAAACATGGAGGCGAAGCTTCTCAACCATTTCGACAGCACCTCATCCAACTGGAGCCAACGTCCGGAATGCTTACCAGCTCCTCAAGATCTCGATTGGTTGTTGCCTTACAGTATCGATATCACGAGTCCTCTTTACGACACAAAATTTCCCATTGATGACCTACTCACTTTGGATATGCCAAGTCCTACTTTCACCTCATCATGCTTCTCAATGGAACAATCATCGCCCTCGCAACCAATGCATCAGTATATGGGCGTTTCAACTCCAGATTCGCTACCATATTTCAGAATGTCTTATCCAAATCACACTTCAGGGACCGAACACTCAAGATTGAGCCCGGTATCAACGCCAGATGTAGGGCAAGGAAGCGAAATACAACAGCGGCTCACTGACCCGATTAGCGCCTCTGAGCCCACATCTCATCGCACAAAGGCCAAAGACTGCAGTTGCTTCTCTCTCATCTGTCAACTACAGGAGTCTGTCTATCATCACACGCAACTTTCCAGTGAGATGGACTCACAAGTACCACTCGGCATTCTCCTCGACATTGAGAACTCCATACACCAGACTGAAGAGACCATCCGACACTGCGAGGACTGTAAGCCACGTTTATCCCATTTCATGCTGATGCTATGCCCCGTCATCGACTGGATCGTCGACAGTCTGGACAAAGTTCTGCTCCGCGGAGTTGCTCCCGGCAGCTCATCACCGTCATACGAGCAATCAAGCCAAAGTTCGCCGCAGGTCGGCGACGCGGGTCTAGGCGGCGGCAGCGGTGGGAATCTGTGTATCTACGAACTGCTCAAGGGCCGACTTCGGAGACTTGCGCGGGTACTTAACGGGATGGGCGGCGAAACACAGAAGGAGTCGATTGAAGAGCCTGCATATTTGGAATCGGAAAGTTTGGTAGAAGCGATGGGGGCTATGGGTCAGGAAACCCGCACAAAGTTGGAGTACCACCTTCGGCTGGTGGAATTATGGTTGTCTTGATGTAGCGTCAAGTGAGAAAATGACAAATGAGTATTACCACTTGGTCAAAACGTCTCCCAGAGAGCTTCTGTGACCAAAAGAATATAACTTACACTGGCCCATGACTGCTAAGGAGGCTTCCGGGCTGCAGGAGACAAGTTACAAACTTAGTTTGCAGTATGTTCAACTCAGTCAAACGCCCCGAATTAGTTTATACTTTAACTTGTCGGAGTCCATCATTCAACGGTTAAAGTCTTTGCCGTGCGTACCGTAGAGATCAGAAAGCTAACGTCGCACTCTCGTTTTCGCTTTTCTTACTTGCTTCACGGGCAAAACGGCGGTAAAATGGTGACGAGTACGCGTAGTCTATCCTTTCAACTATGACAGGAAAGGTAGACTACAATCAAGCTTCCTGTACAATATCATGATCGTACTCGGGGTTAACCCAGTCCGGCTCTCCCGCCTTCTGTCTAAGTGTACCTCCAAACTTGTGCAACAGACCTAGCGCCGGTATGCAGAAGAATATTGTAATGATGCCGTGTCCGGCAAATGTCCAGGTGTAACCCACGTTTGTGACCCAAGGTGCGATGAAGAAGGGATCGATGAAGGCGCTAAGGTTGAGCAGCACCGCGTAAAAGGTAATGACTGCCATGCTCTGGAGCGGGTACGCGTCGACAATGTACGAGCAGATGGCCGTGTTGCCCATTTGGATTCCTGCGCCGACTATAATTTGAGAACGAGGTTAGTCTGTCTGTGCTTTGGGGCTCTTGTTCTTGGGAAAGGTGTTTGGATGAACGTACAAAGAGCAAAGGCAACTTGTCCGACCATCCAGTGGTACGCTTTGTCGATGCTAACGCCCCAGATGATAAGACCGATGGATGTGAGTAGAGCCGCGGGATATGCCAGCCACAGACGCATCTCTGCAGTCTTTACGCCTCCGTTGCTCTTCGCGAGCTTGATCACAAGCCAGTCGCTCAGCTGCCCGGAGAAGAAAATTTCCGAGATCAAAGTACCGACAATTAAGCCGATAAAGAAGAGTCTGCAACGTCTGTTGTTAGCTCCCGACGCTCAACTTAAGTGGTTCCTATGTCGCTTACCCCTGTACTTGCGGCGAGTAATCAATGTAGGCTACGGGAATCATCGTGATGACCGACAACACCCACCAGTACCATCCGAAGCAGTACACTCCTGTCGCGATGGGCACCACGGAGAACTTGAATAACTTCCCGAACCGCACAATCGATGCCCACGGCTTGGGATGCTTCATTGCCGGAACAGGCTTCAGGTTCAAGAAGCCCAAATTCTTCGTCCTCGCAAGTTCCATTGCCTCTGGCGCCGCCATCGAACCAATAGCCTTCTCGTCCACGGCTCCGCTCGTGGCACCAGACACGACACCTTTGGTCTTGGAAAGCATGTAGTCCCTCGGATACAACGTCTCAGGCAGAAACGCAAGCTCTGCGACGAGGATGACGGCAAAGAAGATGGCCGTCATCCATTGAATCCAGTAGTGGTCAATCAGATCCACGAACCCCCCAATCAGCGGACCCGCAAGAAGGCCCAAGTCGATGGCCAACACCCATAGGCCGACCTTTTGTCCGCGCTCGTGCTCGAAGAACATGTCGTTGATGATGGCCAGGCCAACAGTCGCAGCGGGACTGACGCCAAGCCCTTGGAAGAGGCGAGCAGCCATGTAGCCCCCGTACGAAGGGGCTTTTGCGGCGCCAATGGTCGCGGCGAAGGCGACGATGGTGCCTGCGATGAAGATGGGCCGGCGGCCGATGATGTCTGCGGGGGATGACCAAAGCAAAGGTCCAATGGAGAGGCCCAGGGCTGGGATGGCGACGGTCCAGTTTACCATTTCGAGGGTGAGGGAATATTGCTCCTGTAGCTCGGGGAAGGAGGGTACCGTTGTTGTGGTGATGTAGGTGAACATAAAATATCTGCGATTAAATGAGGTCAGCACCGATGTTCTTTATTAAGGCGTGAGGGGCCAGACTTACAATGCCATCACAATGGCGAGGATAGTATTCTTCTGGAAGGCGGACCAGTTGAGGGGATCCATGGCGTCGCCCACGACGGGCTGGGGGTGTACGCTGAAGCCATCCTTGGTAAGTGTGACCTCCTGTGTCGTCTTGCCGATGCCGTTCTCCTCAGGTCGTGTTGGTGCACCAATCTTCTCCTTCTCATTCACCGAGTCTGCCATTGTGAGTTGCAGACTCGTAGTCCTTCGTGAGGGTTCGTTGTTGTGGCGCAATCAAATGATCAAGTGGCTTGGAATTGAAGGTGATTAGGACATTGGGAAAGGCTAGGGGTATCGTTAGAAAGACAAAAACAACCTCCAAAACCACAGTGATTCAAAGCAATTTTTCTTTGATGGAATGATGGGACGGACCTGCGCATATGTATATCAAAAAGCCTGCACCACCACCCCCCCCTATCTACAAAAGTCAATGATCAATCGATAGCCGTCTGCAATGCGAGAACACCATCCGCACCCTTGTAGCCTCGTCTGTGCCTTATCCCAAGGCAGACATTGACCCAAGACTCCGGGAGACAAGCTTTCGGATGGGCACAAGATTTGCAGCATCATCAAACCACCACAACAAAACCCCTGCCATCGAGGGCCATCCCCCCAAACTTGTGTTAGGCAATGCCATTGAATAATTCCTTTCTCGCATCTCACTGGTCGATTACTGGTTTCCTGCCCTGGCATGAATTGCAACTGGGCATCTCTGCTCGATAAGTGGTCGCAGAACGTCAAGAGATAAGGCCGGGGGGTGGAGAAATTGGAAGGGAAGGGGGCCCTCGGAGGGACGGGAGTGTGCCGGGGCAAGAGGGGAGGACCCGCCAAGAGATAAGGAAGAATGCAACGGCAGCTCTTCAAGTCCTTATCTCTCCCTCTCTCAAACCCTCTCCTCTCCTTTTCCATCCCAACTCCCACGCTTCGCCAAAACTGGCATTACCGCTGAAGATGACGCTTTCTAGTCAGATTTTCTGCCGTTCGACTGATAAGATGCCGCGACCCAAGATGTTGGAACTGACGTTTGTTGTCTCGATGCAGAAAGTCTGTCGCACGACGTGCAGCTACCTGCTCAAGTTTTTGCGGGGAATATTCAATCGTCTCGCGTGGCGGTCCGGGTCTAAAACTCGTGTCACTCACGAACTTATTACCGGGTCTGAAGATGACTTCATGCTTGATGATTCTGGCCTTGGCTGGATGAGATGCCGGCGATGCGAAATCGAACAGACATTGAGCGATTAGTCGACGAATATACACATCTCATCTCGCGAACGCTTTAGGGCTTATCTTGGCGTGGGTGACCATCGTTTCGTCGGACATGGCAAATCTTTTTTCGATGCCGAGATTCTGTATTTTTAAGCGACTGCGACTCTTCGTAAGGCCGATGAGGGCAAGTCACTCACTCACTGCCTTCCTTGGCGGTACTAGGGATGGCCAGACTCACTGAGCCTAGAGTTTTCACTCGCACTCATGTATCACTCGAATCTGAGACAACATCTAGCCTCGTAAGCTGTGACACTCATGTGTGATGAAGACAATAGAACGGGACGAGAAACACGCTCAAGACTACCGTGCCTGAGTTGAGTCGACCAGCCCTCTATGACTGGGCTAAGATGAAGCGTGTTTGAGCAATACAGATGATTAAAAACGATGCGACATCTTCATGCCGGGCGATAAGCGAAATCGCTCGGCGGGAGCCAATAGCAACTGCAGGTCGGACTATCCCCAGACATCACCATCCCACGCCACATCATCAGGACCTGCAGGGGAGTAATCAGTGCGGCGCAAAGAAGGTTGTGGCTGGTTAAGCACGACCTCGCGTGGGTAGGTACTCATCTCATTCATAACCCAACCACAATCCCCCCAAATCAGCACGATAAGTCCTGCTTGTGATGATCTATGAAGAATCAAATAAGTGTTACTTCTTACTATGTTATGTCTAATGTGAGTCGTTTGGCACATGAGCAAAGTGATCCCGGATATCCGCAACGTCGAATCAGCGCTTCACGCATTGTAAGCAAAAAACTTCATCGAAGCCTTTCAATCGATTAGTATTAGTATAGTACTGGCAACCGAGGATGTTGTCTGGTTTTCTGCGTTGTGTTGAGTGGTGCGCTGCCTGAGATCTTATCATCTTTCAACTGGTCTTGATATTGTAGATTTGCAATGCCCGGGAGCAGCCAGAAGTAGGTTATTCGATGAACATCGTCTGAGTGAGAATTCTCTGTGAATGCTGCCATGTACTAATACTTTTATTAGGCTAAAGTATCCCAAGCGGCGTTTAAATGAGACGCTTGACGTAAGCTCGAGTCCATAAGAAAGAACCTACTTGTCGTAACCTTCACCCGAAAAGTGAAGCTTGCATTTCGCTGATCGAAGTTAAGGACGGCCGGCACAGAGTGCGTCATACTGCTGATACAAGTCCTTGAATTCAACGTACCTAGAATAAAGTCTTCCCCAAATGAGGGACAAAATTCCTATATTTGGTAACTCTATCTTTTTGAAGTTTCTAAATAGGCATACCTAATTATGGAAGACAGCAGTGCCTCAGTCACTGCATGGCGAGCACCGGGAATAAACAAGAAGCCAGCCGGCGAATGAAATGAGATGTGTATTGATACTTAAATGAACAGAGAGTCACCTCCAATATGATGTTAAGAAGAGCAGAGAATAGAAATTGAATTGGACGCAGCCACCCAACAACCAATCACCCGGCGAAATGTTTCCCGATCAGGAGACCTCAATAAAGCTCACTTTTGCTCATGATTCAGCGAGTCGTCAACTCCATCATATCTTCGGGTGAACCGGCGCGGACGGACCATCCAGCACGCTCCAAACCCAGGGGAAATCCGCAAGGAAACAAAGTTCGGACGAGATATGGATTCCAAAAAATGACCATCGTTTCCAACATATTATTCACCTGATGCTCGAACTTCAAGGGCTTGACCTGACGAGGGAACAGGCACCGAACTCCCGGAGGGGCGGAGAAAACGGCTCTCCAACCTTGAGAAAATGCCCCACAGATCTGCCGGGCTGATTACTCGCCTTCCCGGGTTGTCCATGTCTTTTAGGCGGATTAGTAACACAATTAAGGCGAATTAAACTGCATGCCGAATGGGTCATAGGCCAAGCATGCCAGCGACGGTTGGCAACTCTTCGTCATTAGCCAGGCACAGAGCAAAGATATGTCACAGAAGCGAGGGAACATCAAGTGAAGTGTATAAGCAGGACCATTCTAGTCCGCCCTTTCCATTCGTCTAGTATACTCCGGCACGGCCGTATGTAGCTAGGTAGTAAGGTAGAAGTCTTTTATCCAAAGTCCACGTCGGTGTTGTACACGAAAACCAACAAATGTCGTTATAGTATATACAATTGAAAAAGTCCAACAAAGCAATCATGTCTTGATGAGCCTGTTGGGTTGAGCTACCCCCATCACTGAAACGGCTTAGGGTTCACTCGAAGTGAGTCTCGCTTCTCGCTCTGGTTTGAGGTGCAAAATTTAAACGCGGCGGACGACGTCACGGGCGTGCTGGCGGGCCATACGGCGGGCCAGGCTGCGCTTACGCTTCTCGGCGCAGGAGGGCTTGCCAGTGGCGGCAGGCTGCTGGGCAGAGACAGAGCTGGAGGCAGGGGCGGACGTGGCGACGGCCTCAGCGGCGGCGGTAGTGGTGGCAGCGGCAGCAGAGGTGGCAGCGGGGGCGGTGGAAGAAGCAGCGGCAGCAGAGGTGGCGGCAGCAGCGGAGGTGGCAGCGGGAGCGGCGGAGGAAGCAGAGCCGGAAGAGCCGGAGCCGGAGCCACCAAAGACGGAGGGGAGGGCAGGGCCGGGGATGGAGTAGCTGGTCAGGGAGTTGTAGATGGAGATGAGGATACCAGCGTCAGAGGCAGTGTAGAGAGCCTCACCCTTAGTACCAGCGGGAAGGTCGGAGCCGGAGCCGGTGACCTCGATGTTGAGGCACTGGGGGTAGTTCTGAGCACCATTCTCCTGACCGGCGGAGTGAAGGGCAATGATCTCGTGGCGGAGAACGTAGTTGCCAGGCTTCAGGGAAGTAGGGATGGTGACAGCCCAGGAGTTGTTGGCAGCAATGAGCTCATCGGAAGCCCACTTGTTGGCGGAGGCGTCAACGAGACCGGCCTCGGCGATCTTGAAGAACTCGAGGGAGGTCTTGTCGACGGTAGAGCAGTCATCACCGCAGGAGGCGAGGTAGTCGATGACGGGACCCTTGTGGGACTCGGGCCAGGTGTTCCAGAAAATCTGGAGCTTGTCACCAGCAGCGACCTTAGCGGTGAGCTTGGCGTTCTCGGAGTTCTTGTGGCAGATGATGTCGGCAGCGGCGTAGGAGGCGGGCTCGACGAAGCCGTTGTCGGTGGCGGTGTTCTTCCAGCCATAGCTACAATATTGTCAATATCAAAGTCGCGAATGAGGCTGTCTCTCTCTCTCTCTCTCTGGATGGGGGTCTGCTTACACGTCGGGGGGGCTGCTCATGTAGGGGAGCGAGGTGACGTCGTAACCGGCGAACTGCTCAGAGCCATCGGTGAAGTAGTTGACGTGACCGTGGGCCATGACAGAGGCGGCGCCGGCAATGGCGGAAAGGACAGCGGAGTTCTTGAAGGAAGGCATTTTTGCAGATTTTCCAAAAGTGTGAGTTTGGTGTTGGGTGTAGTTTCGGTCGGAAAGAGTGGATATTGACTTCAAGTCGTAAAGATAGTGAACTTCAATCAATGAAGTCTTCAAATGAAAGAAATGTGCTGAAAAGCGGAAAAGAGTGTGGGAATGGAAAGCTGCGGGAATGAGCCTGTTGGATGAGGAAAAAGAGAACAGGAACAGATGTTATGAACGAAGAGGAGAGGACCTTATATCTCGAGATGAACTGGAGTAGCGCTCATGGTCGTGGGTCGTGGCGTATACTTGCGTTGCGTGGATTCAAGCAATCTCGACCACGCCCATCAGGAGACAGCACCGATTCTCATCCCATGTAAGCCATGCTAGCACCACTGCGGCCCCGTCTCCGTCCCTCACGTAGCAGAGCCAGGGGCCATGTTCAAGGAGTCCCTGTGCAAATCCATGACCAGGCGGTGTCCAGGTTGCGTTGCCCAGGCACAAGTTGATTGCGAACGGGTTGTGATGAAGTGGAATCGCAAGGCGGGGGTTCGACGTTGAAGCAGGAGGCGCCCACCTTGCATCGAAAAGGAAGGGGGTCGTGGGGCCGGCGTCTGCCCCCCGTTGTTCACCCGGGATCTAGAACCGCAAGCAGAAGCCGAAGCGAGGCTATCGCGGCTGGAAACGTGCCCATAGGTGGAAAGGCGGGAAACAAGCGGGGGCAGTGGCCATGCCGAGCAGCCATGGCGAGATCAAGCCGTTTCAGCATAAATGAAGGTGGTGACTTGTTGCATCCCGCAGTGCAGGGTTGAAGCAAGGTGACCTAGTGCACGTTGGCCGCTGACGGCGCGGCAAGCAGATCTTTGGCGCCAAAACGGTGTGCTTACGGCGGCCATCTTGTTGCTCGCTTATTGAGAGTGGTAAGACCTGTTGGTTCAGAGGTGGTGGCATAACAGCGACGACGAAAATCATAGTAGCATCTGCTGTGAAGATCTATGATCCACTCAAGGTTAAGCTTAGAGAACAACCAGCTCTCTTGGGACTGGCAAAGACATAAATCGTAGGTTATTTCGGAGTCGATGAGCCGAAGCGCACTTACGCCCACATCATATTGGGTCAGATAGCAAACTCTAAGCCAGGCTTTCAGTAAGCATAAGTGGCAGTGAGGAGCAGAAATGAGATTGAGAATGACGGGATGGCAGTTCGTCTGAGCGTTGGAAAAGGGAGGTGGGTGGTCAGTGCTGGCTGTTGACTGGTACTGGCGGCAAGGCAGTGCTTGGCTGGCTGCACTGCAGCAGCGAGTGACCCTCGGCTGACTGGCTGACTGGGCAAATGCAGGCCGGGCCTGGACGAGTTCCAGTGTGAGCCGATACCCGATTGACTGGAGACTTGGAAATTGAAGCCCGGGAGGGATGACGAGTCGAGGCGGGTAAAGAAGCAAACTGGGGTGGATAGCGGTGGAGGAAACGGGTTGGCACGTCTGTGGTGAGGCGAGGAGGGATGCAGGCCGTAGTTCTTAGGGGTTTGACGCCATGTTGATGGATGATCCAGCATATCCAGCTGTTCGCAACAAGGAAGCGTGGCGGGCTTGGCGATGCTTGGTACTCATCTCGAATGTCTGGCTTCCCACCTGGACTCCGACATGGAGTCTTGGGCCGTGGACGACGGAGCCGAACTGTCAACATCGTCGAGCCCCCTGGTGTCTGTTCTCGAAGCAGCGGACCTGCTCATGGAGCCTAGCTGACCATAACCTCGATTCGGGAGCTGATCAACCTCGATATGGACTTGCATGCAGGCTTCGTATCAATATCGAGCAACAGGCCATTCATCCCCGTAGCCATTGCCTTTCTGGTTCGAAATTCACGGGGGCCAGTGGAACTGCCGGTGGGCGCTTGCGCGAGCGGTGAGAATCTCGACGACGAACATGGTGGAAAAGCCGAGAATCGAGATGAACTGGTGGAAAGAAAAGGGTCAACTGCCGCGTAGTTCCAACAACGCAAGCTGGATGACAGGGAGAGTCTGGGATTTTGGGTGAGCGCATGTCGTTGGGCTTCGGGACAGCAATCTATTTGCGACTTTGTGCAAAGGCCTCGATCTGTGCTCGACGGGGTTCAGGCGAGTAAAAAATCTGTCTCTTTGGTGTGTGTGTGTGTGCAGAGCAGTGCAGTGTCCCATGTGGTGTCACCAAGGGGTAATGCTGTTCATGTAGCCATGCTCATTGCTGCTGGTTAATGAATTTGGTCTGGTCAGGGGTGCAGCTGGAAGAGGATTTTTGATTTCTTGGTGATCGTCGTCTCCTACTTCCCGCAGGGTGCAGCCGCAACTCTATGCCTGGACCAACTGGCAACACCCTCTTTTTCTTCCATTCTCGACTTTTCCTCGGACTCCTACTGCTGACTCATTGGGATTCAATGGGACCTCAGAGCTTGACGGGAAGGAGTAGCCAATAGTGTTGCAGGGTTCCTCCCCTTTCCGGCCATTATGTCCGTATAGGTTCCAGGGGCAAGGCTGGGCAGCTGCGTGGGAAGGCATGGCTGCATGGGTTCTTGCCGCTGGGCGCAGGTTCGGACGACCCAACCAGGGCTCATCTTACCCGCGTCTCTTCTGAGAAAGAGCCATTGATGATTCAGGAAGTTCCTTCCTGCCAGCAAACAAATCGTTGCTTGTCGAATCATTGATAGCCATCCTTGCGCCTTCCTGGAGACCCAAATTCGCGCGGCCTGAAACTGCAACCTCCACTTCCACCTCCTTCCTCTCCACGTTCTCGTGGATACGTACCGCCACAGGGATGGAGTTGGATGGATCCATGGATCTCTGTCAGTGGATTCCTCTTCCTCGATGTATCCACCCATCATCAATTCTTGGCAGCCATGGGCCAAAAATGTCCCTTTCTTCCTTACTTTTCTCCTCAGTTCAATTTATTTTGATTGTTCCTTCCAAGTGTCCTGCACGGCATCGCCAGCTCCTGCCTTCCGAGCCCCTCGCTTCACCCGGCCCGTGCTTCTCGCCCATTCCCAATTTTTCGAGTATTTTCCAATGCTTTCCTCATTCCTCTCCAATAGGACGGATATTGGATCGAAAATGGAGATGCTTCCCTGTATCACTGGCTTCTGTCAATCTGTCTAAAGTGTCTATGGATCAATATCTCCGTGCTCCCATGTCTCATCCCGTGTCTGTTTATCCGATGACGTTATGCTTCCATCAATGTTCCTTCCCCTCCAGGCCCCAGCCCTCCCACCTACCGTGACTTTTGGGGGCCCCTGGCGGCCACTTACCGAAACCGGCCCATTCGACGCGTCTCTTACGTAGACAGCTCTACATACACAGTAGGCATCAGAGAGAAACCTCACACACGGGACCCGACTCGGAGACCACTTCTGCCCACTTCACCGGACCCGTGTCCGCTCTCCGTAAACCGCAACGTCTTGAGAATGCCGCCCAAGAAGGCCACTGCCGCCGCGCCCATCCCGTTGGGTGAGGCCAACGCGAATCGCATCGCGGGCCAAAACACGGCCGCAAAGATACGCAACGGCGCCTAGAACTTCTTGAAAATCTCAAAGACGCATTTCATTGTGCTATCTCACAATCGCCATTTCTCACAACTCGGATGCCAAAATTTTCCTTTCCGTTACCTTGGGATCCAATGCCGTGACACAACTCCCAACGCTAACATCGTGACACGTCCAGCCCGCCGAAAAGTCAGCGCCCAAGTCCCGCAAGCGCAAGTCAGACGCCGCTACCGATGGTGATACTACCGCCGCCGATGCGCCGGCTCCCAAGAAGCAGGCAACCAAAAAGGCTGCCGACAAGAAGGATCCCCTCCCGGACCTCTCAGAGATCGAACTCCCGGGCGACGATGATATGAGCGTCGCTGTCTGGGACACGGGTGACATTGTCCGCACCAAGATCCGCGCCATGCTCAAGAAGGAGGGCGTCACAAAGGCAGTCTTCCTCCGCACCATCGTCAAGGCCGCGTACCCTGCCGGGTCAGACCACAAGATTGCCCCCAACCTGCTCACTAACTTCAGGAACAAGAAGGGCCCCGCGTCCGGCGACACCAGTAGCGTGTTTAATGCGGCCTATGTTTTTTTTGAGAAGCTTCGAGTGAGAGATGGCAAGCCCAAGACGAAGATGAGAGAGGAGATGGAGGAGGAGTGGCTTACTGGCATGGACACCAAGCAGCAGCTGGATGGTTGGGTTACTTGTCTCGCCGGTGAGAAGCCTCACATTGACAAGTACGGCAAGACTCGTTTCCACTAGCCGTAGGAGGCTGTGTAATTCACGATTTTGACTTTATGCTTCCTTTTCTCTTGCTTCGTTTAAGCATGTTTTCTTTGGGATATTAAGGGCATAATCTGGGCTAGTGCGAATGATCACAATCTATTAAGACGAATCATATCATTGCATGTTGATCTACAATGGGTCCAAAGACTATCCAATATATCGTGAATATCTCGGCCGTGGAAATGTCAGCTAATCGTAGGCGGTTGGAAAGATGACTCGAGTATCTGGACCCAAGCGGAAGGGACGGCCACTTTACCGATATATCTGCGACGGGGGTGGGCCAGGGATACCGGGCCACCGGCACGGACGAGTCATCGGTACCCTACGGAGTGCCTCGGCTTCCCCCGACCACGAACACTGTCCACAATCGCCCTGACCGCTACCATCCTGGCCCGTCTCAGGGCCCGATACTCCATCTTAACCAGTCAAGCATTTCATTCCATCTCTCGCTCGCGGCCGGCTGGGCACACTCTGCCCGTTACTTGACACAAAGCTTGGCCCCTCGTAAGCGCCTTCACCCCTGCACCGCGAACAGCGACGTGTTCGAACATCGGCCTTTGTTCATGATTCCCGGCCATCGGTTGGCCCTGGTTGGGATTTGTTTGTTGGTATGTCATGAGCGGGAAGATCGGGAAAATCGGAACTGATGCTTGCTGCTCTTCATCAATGAAAAGCAAGCCATTGTTTTCGCGTCAGCCACTATTGTTTCAACAATAGAGGAACCGTCCAACGCTTCACAGGGGAAATCGACATCCATGGCAGCATGGTAGCATGACAGCAGTTGGGTCCAATGGATCATTCATCCAGTGCGAATGTGCCTTTTGATGCAGACTCGAGAAGGAAGTCGGCTCGCAACGTGCCTTAGAGTCTTTCATCTCTCGAGCTCCAGGTGGATGTCTTGAGGACGTAGTCTTGCTTCTGATGATAAATTTCCATCCATAACACGAGTTCGTGGGAGACTTTGGTGTTCTTTGGGAAAACAAGCCAATATTCGTTGCTAGAATCACTGCGAATCATAAGGTAGCGCTAGCTGCAAGATTCTCATCCGGGTTCATCTATTACTAAGGGACGTTTCGCCTGATCCTCATCCATAGGCACTCCATAGTGTAAGTAGTACCTTTCACAGTCGTCAACACCTCTCAATTTCTTTTTTGAAGGAACTTAAGTGAACAAAGCCTTGATTAGGGGCTTGTGTTGCCCTGCTCATTTTTGAGATGATACCTGTCACCGTCTTTTCTCTCATCATCTGAACAAACAATATCAGGCGCCATTCCCTTTGCTCGCCGAAAATGAGACCAAACCAAAGTTAAAAACAAAGGCATTATTACCCCAATACAATATCCTAAGATAGGCACCAGCACTTGGTCTTCTTGACACGTCTACTTTCGTCTGGTCACCGATGTCTGCGGCTATGGTTCCAAGGAAAGATAAATCGCCCAACGGTCCACATGGCATCGACTTCCAGAATACCATGATGGTAACTTCCCCTCACCGGTCCGGCTTCTGCTCGTAGGACTGAGTTTCTACTTCAAGGTCCCGCCGAGGCACCCAGTCATCTCAGTCACAGGGTCTATCGGTCTCTCTGAACTTGCCAGATCAAGTTGACTTATTGGCCTTCTTCCATGAACTTAGTATGTTGTCCACTTCCGCCGGGCATCTCTTCTTCTTCATCCCAGACTGATTCTTACCACCGACTGACGTGAAATTTGCACTATACTTCAGAAGAAGTTTCATCATCTCCTCATCCTTGTTGTGAGGAGCACAGTCCATAGGTCTCTGCCCACGACCGACAGGTTCCAGGGCAGCCTGTCTGCTCAGGAGTAATTTGGCCAAATCGTACTTGCCTTCACAAAAAGCCTTTCACAAAGGTGTCTGGCCTGCGCCATTGTTCACGTCGAGATTGGATGGTATCTTCTCGTCTGAGTCGTTCAAGCTGTCTGAGTAGTCCGCGAGGAGGATTTTCAACATAGCAGGACTTTTGACAGCAAGATGCAGTGCCGTATTACTATATTGAATCGCAAGTGGTTCATCAGGGCTTACACCCATTTCAACCAACTTTCGCACGACGTCGTCGTGTATCTCATAGTCTTCGGATAGTGCCCAAAGCATCATGTGATGCCCATACCTGTCAATGATCTTCGTTCCAAGACACGCATCAAGGATCAATTCTTCGTTCATGCCCAAGAATTGGGTTCTATATGTGGAGATGATCTTTACCGGGCCGATGCCGCTGTCGATCGCATGTTGAAGAAGCATCGACAGGATGGACGGATCCTATATCTTGTAAACCGTATGACGCGAGGCCCACCCTACCGCCGCCATAGACTCAAAGGGTCGGATCTTCAGTAGAGTCAACAAAAGCTTGACTGTTCTCTATTGTCCGGCTATGACAGCATGGTTCCATGATCCCAGTCCTCGACGTTGGGGTCCGCGTACAGAAGCTCCAAAGCTGATGAGAACTCTCGCGCATCCTTCGTAACCGTTTTCGAAACAGACATAAAGAGGCGCCTCGCCTTTTTCGTCAGGCAGGTTTGAATCAACGCCAAGATTCAATAAGATGCAAAGCACCCCCACAAGACCTTGCCTCGCGGACTCCGTCAAGGCAAGGGAAAGCCTCCCTAAGGCTGGCAGATTCCTGTGAGCCGCATCAAAGGCAATTTTTTGCCAGGAAAGCTAACGTGTTGTCTAGACCACCTGATACCATAGAGTCTTTCAATTGGGTAGCAACGTCAATCGCAGACTGCGCGGTCCTTTCGTGGATGGCGCCTTGGACAGCGCGTTGGTTCAGACTTCAGAGACGCGAGATGATCCATAAGCTGGTGACAGTTATCATCTGCATCGGGTGCGTGATCGTTAATAGAATGACGTTGCTCGTATAGCTCTTCAAACAAGGTGTACACTTCGGATTATCTATGATGCTGCTGAGCGTGCGTTGATCTTAGACCATCACATAAAAGCCGGTAAAAGGAGCCGATAGAATGATTATTCAGGCCTTCCAGCTAATCCATGCAGAAGTTGCATGATGCTCTAAGTTGAGTAATGGTGTCTCCATGCTTTCCCCTCGTGAGAGAGATCAAAATACTGAGCTCAAGGAAGTGGGTAGGAAATTGACTTCTCAACGCTGGAACCACGCAAATCAATGCGTCTAGACGTTTGCCCACACCGGCACTTACGAACACATCGACCACCTTTGCAACCACAGAGCTTTCCATGGTTTGGCCCCGGCTGGAGCTTAAGACTTCGCCTTTGGCATCATCGAAATCATTCCCGGGAAGGCCTCTGAGCATTCCATCCTTGAGTCCGGTGAGCAGACTTGTGAAAAGCTCTTGGGCAAAGATATCGACCAGTAAGCTCTTCGTCCGAATAAAGTCGATTTGTCATGGAATAATATCATATGGGCTTCACTTCGTTATCTGAGGAGTTGTGCCACAAATCCAACAGGTCATGTTTCTCCTTGAGGTCAAAATGGATGACGCCTTCCTCTGGATGCCCCACAACGTCAGAATAATACCAGAGACCCGTCTCAATTTCGCTGCATCGGCCGAGAGAGATAATTCTCGCATACTCTATGGTTTCAATCTCAGAGTATTCTTCCAGTGTACGGTCGTCGTTTAACATCAGCGCCAACAAAGTGAGACCCAGGACCGCCTCAAGTCGCACCACATTTATCGTCCAACCCACGGAAGACAAACCATTAGGTGCCTTGAGAGCGACTTCCACTGCGGAGCAGTGGAAAGAGTGAAATAGACCGTTTTCGCGTTGGACAGTATTCGGTATCTGAATGTTGAGATCACCCCATACCTTCTTTCCATAGATACAACTATTTGCAATCCGACAAATCGCAGCGGCTATGCTTTTTGCCTTGGCACCAACTCGGACTATTTTTCATTCAAGTTTTTAGAATCCAAACTTGTGAAGTCCACAGACATCGCGGCTTGTCGATGTACAAAGCTCTACCTCAATTGTAGCAGTTCCCTCTTGAGACCACTCGATGAAAGCTCTGAGCCATGAATAGCCGCAAAGTCGAGTAACGGAAATGATGGTTGTAAGAATATGTATCCATCGGGCCCATGGCAAAACCCATGTAGTCACACCAAGTCGTGCTTTCGCTGAGATACTGCTTGGCCATGGACTCGCCAAAGAAAGAGAGAAAGGGCGTAAGATCTTTGACAAGGTCATTGACTCATTGTAAAAGTCAGACAGGATATTCTCACTGGCAGCAAAGACAACCGCCATATGAAAAGCCGCAGGGTAGAGCATCAATGACCATCCCACAATCATTCTCATTGTCGAGGAGTGAAATTAATGTTGTCTTTTAGGGAGCTTTTGGTTATGAGTACGGTTGCCCAGATTTTATCGCGCAAAAGTGCTCACCAAGTTCGTTGAGAGATCATGAAGTCCAGCAGGGAAAATGAGAACATTGGCCATATCTTTCATCGAGGAGTTCTACCTAACGAGACGAGATTACGCTGCAGTCACCGTCCAGAAAAGCGACTTGCAGGGTGTTCCAACTGCAGCAATCCCGAGAAATGGAACATAGTAGACGCTTCCCCTGCCTAATTTAGCCGAGATTAGTTCGACGAGCACCCAATTATCAGAGAGAATGAACATATCTAGGCCTGATTCAACATCGCAGTCGCCTCTGGACGATGTCAAGGGATTGAACGTCTAAGTCGAGAGCCCTTTCTAATATGAGCTTTATCGTCACGATAGAACCTTGCCAAGAACCATGTCTGCTAAAAAATAAAATAATTAAATAAAAGTCTTCCATTGTATTGTGTCGTATCATATTATCCATCTCACAGCTTCGAATATCATAGTCCGCCAGCCCCTTTGCCGATTCAGTGTATTTCGGGGAGCTCTGTGTCGCGCTCTGAGATGCTAACCCTTTTTTATGTGTTTTGGCGGTCTTTTCCTTTATGAGAGTCTGTTGAAGTACGAAGAGGGTCATAGACCCATAGAGTAAGGTAATTATGGTCGCTCGGTGTGGATGAGGTACAAATGAGTGCGATCTCATCTGCAAGATATGTTGTTCCCAAGTGATCTTTGCACATACTGACGGCTGGGAACTCGCACTATTAATATTTGAAACCTCTACTACTACCGTCGAATGCCTGTTAAGTACGCCTCGCTCATGATCAATGATCATATCCGAGGCACTATCATGCATGTTAAAGAAGGCTTCCAGTCCAGGGCGTATCATATGCTGCACATATGAGCATCATTGACAACAAATGTACTATCAATATAGGTAGATTATTTGAACGATTACAGACAGCCGAAAACGAAAGATTGCGTATGGTAGCTGACCCCTGAGCGATAGAAGCAACACGTGAATAGGACGTCTGATTTACAGATGGATTTTCTAAATATCAGTTAACTACCTTAGGTACGTCTGCGCATTGAACTTGCCAGGGCTCACCTCTCGCAAAAATTACACCCAGACTCACTAAGTCAATGCATGTAACTACCATGATGGAGTAGGTCCGAAGCTACCTCAACTCGAATTCAATTCAACATGAGACAGGCATAGAAACCTGCATTCTTCCACAATTAGACTTCCTGTATTCTTAGAGCACAAGCTCTACAGTATTTTGTTCCGTTCTATGGAGTTGACTGTCGATTCATCTGCTTCTTGATGGTCCAAGAAAAGTACTATGCAATCATTAATCATGCAAGGAAGCTTGGCGCTACATAAAAAGATTCAATCATCTTGGAAAACCATGAGCATTTCAATTGAACTCGCAGAGCTCAATGATTGCATCTCACTCAATTTCAATCGGATGTCGGCAACGAAACACTCATGTCGCGTGAACTTGTGGCCCGAGAACCCTCAAGTGCAAATATGACGTGAAACTTGCTAAAAGTCCTTTAACATTCAATTGAGCAATACGACCGGGATTGGGCTCTTCTTAGACTGTAAGCTTTGCCGATTGCCCGATAGCGTGGAATTTTTGAGGCCGAGATACCCGCAACCCCTGGGCCTGCTGCGCCCCAGAGTGCATGCAACTCGAAACTCTCTCTGGCTGGATGAGCTTACTGGGTAAAAACACCGAGGAAAAGCTTACTCTCCAAAATCACTGTGAGAGCAGAATTGTATTGACCTGAAATATAGATCCTACCTAGCTGCATGGACACTTAGTATTTACTGGTTGTTAGCCATAGATAGATGGCGTCTATGTCATGTGCGAGTTTGTCAATACAACGATCGCATGTTTGTAGTGATTTGATTTGACTTGCAACCGCGACCGGGGGCTCAATATAGTCCAAAGACACAGACAATCAACACGACACTGAGCCGAGAGTAACTCGTATAGGTAAGTACAGATATTTGGCGGCTGGCTGCGAGAATAGCAGTTGTTGTGCGAGGTGTACTTTGCGTTATGTAATAATTGGTAAATGACAGGCCCAGAAGGTCTCGATCTATCTAATAGAAACCCATGTTCCGATCACCGTTGCGGCTTACCCTCTTGTATCAATACTGGGCGTGTTCTTAATTTTTTTGATTGGTGGAAGGATGCAAGCAGAAGTTTGGACGATCAGAGAAGACTACAGTTGCATTTGAGGCTGATAGTTACATCGGCCCGGTGTGGTCCTCATAAGTCTAAACTAGTTTGCCCTATTGAGCTGTGTCACTTGATGCAGTTGTCAGGTGCGGTTTGGTTCATCGTTGCTTTTCTAGCAAACTGCCAAGCGCCCAGCCACTACATAGCTTCGTGTTAATGGATACCTCTCTAGGACGGATTAATATAGGTTATTGAGAAGAAAAAACGTCGATACGTAACGAAGACCCGGACGGCTCGGAGGTGTGGAGGCCCAACAGATCGAATGTACTATCATTGATATCAACTCCTGCCGCCATCCGCGAGAGTCGCAAACATGATGCACACCTTGACCCAGCATCAAAGCTGTGGCGCTTTCTGTTGCTTCGAGCAAAGTTGCCGCACAGGACAAATAGGCCATATTAGATCTGGCCCTATGCCGACAATAGCTGACGACAGCAAAAGCCATGATGGAGAGTTTAATGTTCTTGCTCGGTCAAGCTTTCTCTAGTATGTAGTTTAAAAGCCCAAATGTTTCGTCAGCTTCACATCAGACGATCCACATAACCCCTATCTCCCCTGTTGGGATGAGGATGCTACGGCGCTCTGGGCTCATCGCGACTGTCTGACTCGTCGGTCCCCTGCGTCGCAGTGAGCACTGTTCTAGAAACGATACCAAGCCAAAATCGCTCTCGGATTACTGAACCTCTTTGCCCATTGCTGGGCTGGCCACCCCGCAAATTTCATGCTCTCCACCATCGACTCTTTGGCGACCTGCACAGTCAACCTCCGTGGCGGTACAAGATGGGGTCATCGGTAAATTAATCCGCCAACAGGATGAGGCCGGTCTAGAAGGCTCGGTTCCAGAGTAATGAGCCCCCTGTGGCCGCGGACTGCCGCTACGGGGTGTACCCCAGCTAGCACTCTATCCCTGTTAAAGTTCAAAAGCTCGGGATTGGTTGTTTAATCGGGTTTAATCTACGAAGCAACTCCTGTCTGCCGATGGCCGTCTCCACCAATCATGCCCGGGCAGCTCGAGGAACCCGGCATCTCACAGAACACGCGGAGAGGGAGGGAAGACGAAGCTCTCGTAACTTTTGAACTTTCGCATCCAACCCCTCGGCACCAGAAGCCTTGTGGGCCTCTTGACTGAAGTACATAAAGGAGAGCCAAGCCGCTCTATAGCTACTAGTCTGGATGATCTCCTCTTAGGCCAACCTTGGGACGAACCAAGACCACATTCTTTTCCATTCTTCTTTTTACTCGACGCAATGAAGTCTTTTCTTACCGCTCTTACCTTCGTCACGGCGGCGCTGGCAGCCAGCCGCACCTCCGCCCCCTCTGGATGCCTGACTGTCAAGAAGTCTGGCGGCCAATACAGCACCATCCAGAAGGCCGTCGACGCCCTTTCTACCACCGCCTCTGCCAAGCAATGCATCTTCATTGATCAGGGCACCTACAGCGAGCAGGTCCTCGTCCCCGCGCGGACAGCTCAACTCACCATATACGGATACACGGCCGATACGAGCAGCTATGCCGGCAACAAGGTGACTATCACCGCCAAGAAGAGCCAGGCCGACGGCCTCAACAACGACGCCAGCGCCACCCTCCGTATTAAGGCCAAGAACTTCAAGCTCTACAACGTCAACGTTGCCAACACCTATGGCAAGGGCAGCCAGGCCGTGGCTCTCAGCGCATACGCCGACAGCGCGTACTACGCCAGCGCTTTCACCGGTTTCCAGGATACCCTTCTTGCCCAGCAGGGCAACCAGCTGTACTCCAAGTGCCTCATCCAGGGTGCTACGGACTTCATCTTTGGCCAGAAGGCCATGGCCTGGTTCGAGAAGTGTGACCTTCGTGTTGTGACTGCCTCTCTCGGCTATGTCACTGGTAAGAGCTACCTAACAAGCCGCTGTCAAATGACAGACAGCTAACAAACACATTAGCCAACGGCCGTGCCAGTTCGTCCGACACGTCCGAGTACGTCTTCAACAGCTGCAACATCGCAGCCGCCTCTGGAAACACTGTCGCCGACGGCGCCTACTACCTCGGCCGTCCCTGGGGCCAGTACGCCCAAGTCGTCTTCCAGAAGACCTCCATGACCGGCGTCATCAACTCCGCGGGCTGGAAGCAGTGGAACGACGGCGACCCTCGCACCGCCAACGTCCTCTTCGGAGAGTACCAGAACACCGGCATTGGTTCCCAGGGCACTCGTGCTAGCTTCTCCAAGAAGCTCAGCGCTGCCGTTACTCCTGCCAGCATTCTGGGCAGCAGCTACACCAGCGCAGCTTACTACGATTCCGCTTACATGTAAGCTTACATGTAAGGGATGATCAGGATTTCTTAAGCTGGAAACGCCTCGGATTGCCGGGCAGAACCATATTCATCTTCTTCGTACATATTCTTTTACTGAATATATTCGTCAGTTCCAATTGGAACTATTGTGAATGCCAACCAACGCATTGTGTGTCGTCCACATCAATCTCGATATGACTTTGATTCCATCTTTTGGTGGTCTGAGTCCCTCTTCGGCACCCAGCCCGTGACGTAGCTCTACTCTTGAACCATAACTGCAGTCGCAGTATGCGCATCGATTCGTGCCCCGCGATCGACCGGTTCTTTCACGGACAGAAAGTGCAAACTCAAAAAGGAGATGCTGCGCGTCCACTGTTTCTACACCCAGCGTGGAAAAGAACGAGCTGCTTTTCTGCTCATCGTGGACTGCCCCTGCTAGTTATGGCCCGT